TCCCCTCTTACACTCCGAACTTTCTTCAAGGAAAATAGTTCATTTAGCTTCCCAGTGTCTCTTTTTGGGTAGTCAAATAATAATCTTCTACTAAAGGCAGGCTTAGATTATATAATGAGCTATTGTAGAAACATGTTGCTCTTCTGCTAAGTGCACATATCTAAAGAGTTGGTGGTAAAAAGTAGTGACGGACTTGGAATTAAATCCGAAAGTCGTCTTTCTCTTTGTCATGTTTAAATTGGTTGGCTAAAGGTTTAAGGAATGCCTCTGCACCTCCTCCCTTTCTTTTTCTCTCTGCCATTGTTCTTGTTTCCTATCGTGCTCATGGCACAAATGCAACATTTATTCTTTGCCACGTGGATAATTGCAATTGGACGCAGAAACAGGGCAAATTACATTCCGCCACAAAACCTTATGGGCGTGCATTCGTCGTGATATCGGCGCAATATCTTTTGTGAATCGGACCTTGAGACGGGGCAGACAGCAGTTGCGATTGATGCACAATGCATGGTCCTATCAGCTGCTGCATTTCATTCTTAGTGAATTTGCCCGTCAGTGTCTGGCTGACCATGTTTTAAAATTTGACTGCAGTTGATTTGATTGGCTTTGCTGAATTATGTCAATACCCTTTACGTGACATTGCTTTTATTTACACAGGCATTAAAGCTATTTCACTGTTGAGAAACTGGTTTATCCGAGCCCCCTGTTAGCCCTGTGTTTGCAGTTTTTAATGGAGCATTTCCATAACAACACCACTAGGTCACGACTGACACATTACATCATTGAGAAACTTGGATTTACTGTCACCACAACAGCCATAAATACGTTGTTCTGCATACAATAGGTAAAGACAACTGTGATTGTTAAGACAGATCGGTTTGCGTGGTGAATATGTCAGAATGTGTCCTAAACTACCTCAGCTGTTTTAGACATACAACCCAGACATTTGTCCATTTACTTTGTGGAATAAAATCCTCCGTCACTTTTGAGTTGGACCTCAGGAAAAAAATGCCGACTAGAAATGCTAAGGGCTCAGCTTCTAAGACTATTGGCTAAGCCACAGCACAATGCCACTGCAAATACACCAAATTTAGCATTACCTGATGATGCTGTAAATATATGTTGGAGAGAGAAGTCTGTCATGCTACAGGTTGGTCATTGTGAAGACAATTCCATGTTGATATTGTTGATTAGGGCAACGTAAGCTGCCTTGAGTGTAACATCATGGAAGAAACGGCACATCTTCCTGATATCTGGCAAAGCCTACACTCTCCAGGAATATAGTGGGCAGTCATGCTTGGGCTCGTACCAGAAACCAGAAGCGCACAGGCAGTCTGCTTCCAGACGGTGTTGAGTTTTCACTTCAGCAATATGACTCAGAGGAAATGCCTGCCCCTATAGAGATGTTATTTCAGATGCAACATGCACCATGTCTGCATTCTTCACTCTGAGTTTCAGCCTCTCCTCTCCAGCAGATGTAATGGACTCCCCAGGGTCACACTTAATACAATATAAAACATTGATTCATGTTCTCTCCATTCAGCTACTTAATCATTTGTCAGAAAGCTGCTTGTAGCGACCAAACAGAGCTACGCTGAAGCCATACTGCATGTATCATTTGACATTTTTAAACTCTATCAACATTAAGTATGCCATTGAACACCGAAAATAACATTATAATGCAATAGTTCAACGTGAGCAGCAGAGGAGTTAGAATGAGGAGTCATGCTGTAATCTCTGAACAAAGCTTTCCTTCCTTGTGCCTAACAGAGTATGTGTTATAGGAGGTCATCTGATGTTAGAGGCACGTGTTTCTGTCTATCTTCCCCCTTTCAGATGGACAGTCGTGAGATAAAATGATTCTACTTGTTGGTCTGAAACTGTTTTATGTGCACCTTTCCGGGATTTGACGCTCGGTTTTGATAGTAACTGCAGAGATATTGTAGGATTGCAATGATTCTATGGTAGAGAATGGAAGAGACTTTATATTTTCTCAATTTCTACATTTACTATTGACACCAAATAAGCTAATGGTAAAATGAACCCACTTCTTCTTCTTGGTGTTGATGAATGTAAACATTGACATGACTAGTTTTTACAAAACTTCAAGTTGAACTATGTTTACAAACTGGTATTATTCTATGGTATAAATAAACAGTAACAATCAGGGCTTGAACTGTGAGAGTAGTCTGATATGAATAGACCAAATGTAGAATGTTTGTTTATGTCAAACACAAGAAGCATCTCTCTCTCTGTAACACTCTTTTCTGATCTTACCAAATCCAGACAGCGCTAAATATGTGAATACACCTAAAAATACCAACTTTTTTTCAGTCTAACATTTAGTAGTGTGAACGAAAAGACATCCCTCACCTCACTGAAGGTTGGCATAGTTAACTGTCTATGTCACAGCACACCTCAAGTACAGTTAGTATGCTTTGGATTTTGTGGCGCCAGAGAGGGACGCTGGTGCAACACAAGACATTTACTCAAAATCCTGCACCCAACTACAATTTAGAGGCAATTTACTTGAGTATTTCCATTTTATGCTCCTGAATGCAAGTGGACTAGAAGTCCAACAACAGTAATCACTGGTATCCGACTCGCATTGTTCCACCGTGTGCAAAAGCACAACAGCAGTAACATCTACATTTATTTTGATTTCATTTTTTAGCAATAACATCTAAAAACAGAATTTAAAGTCAGTGCTTTGGAAGCGTCCTCTTGGTGGTTATGTGTGTGGACGATAGCTACTATTATTTTAGGGACTTCTTTTCCCCCAGTATTTGCTAAAGATGTCGCTTCTTTCCAGGCTCGGTGCCATTTTTAAGGCAGGAGGCATTGCCTTAAAGGCTAAATTCAGGAACAAAAGTTTACTGTAGATAAGATTGTAGCATGACTGGCTGCGTCCTTCCTCAAGATGGATACTGCTCTATATCTCTGGCCGTTCTTTGACGGGTACACTGTGAATCTCCCCGGTCAAAGGTGTTTGTACACTCCATAACTACATGTATGCACCACTGCTACTCTGGTTGCCGTCTTGTTACTTTGACAGAGCATGCAAAGGGGACTTCATTGAAGCAACTGTGGTCAAGGACAATGTGTCTAGGGCTGGCTTTGTTATGGGAGTTGTGGAGACTGTTATCATTCTGGCTCCATTAATTCCAATTCATTTTAGCTGTGCGATAACTAGCAGCGTCTGCTTGTCTGTGCACTCACAAGCCAGTGTGCTGTGTTTCCAGATAAACATGAAGCCTCTTGTGGGAGGTTCTCATGAGTTGAAATGGAGGACAGTGATTGGTGCTGGTGAGGAGATAAAATAAATAGACCCATGCATATTTTGAAATGCAGTGTACAGATTTTTGTTACTGTAGCTTCGCAAAGCGTTGGTGACGAGTAGATTTGCAACATAGCTGCTTTACCTCTCTGGGATGCACTTCTAGCTTACTGAGTGACCCAAAGTATTCACATCCTGACAACAGCTTTCACACCACAACTAATACGCAGTATACCAACCTACACATTGTCCGACAATAAGCCAGATATATGGTACAGTATTACCATAGCAGGGCTGAATGAGTTTGTATGTGTGTGGTCTTTATTAGACAACTATTTCAGGCTCCTTGTGGTCTGCGAATGTCTCTCCCTTATAAGTGCACTCATAGTTTTATTGAAATGGCATCTTCCCCCCCCCCCCTCCACAGCATCTGGTATCTTTTGCACAAGCACTTGTTCATACTTGTGCTCATGTCATTTCTGAAAAGTCTACTTCATTATAGTAGTACCAGTGGAAAGTGAGGTGCATTTAAATATGTTAAACTAGAGGCAAACAATTCACAATTCTATTTGACCTAAACTATACCTGTCAACCTTTTAAAAAATGTGTTTTATTTGACATTGATTTGGTTAAGACTTGGGCTTGAAAATGCGAGTGTCTTGTAAAGATGGCACACACATATTTACAAGGCCTCTTTGTCTAGTCTTACAGTAAAACAGATGCGGGTTGTGAATTGCGGCTGTGGGCTATTTTGGACCTCTAATTCTCCCTCTCTCTCGCTCTCTCTCTCACTCTCTCACAAAGGGCCCAAATGGCATGATCACATTAGATACACTAGTGCCAAAGCAGTGTATGAATATCAACAAAAACTACAGTATATTCAGAATATTGTTAAGACTAAAATGGTAATGATAATTGACTATATATATATATATATATATATATAAGTAATTAGAAACGCAATCTTAATGTTTGCAGAAAGAGGCAAACTGTCCTGCAAGGATACAACTTTTTTTTTTAGATTTCCCCAGTACGCTCTTCAGTTTCTAATTATTTAAATTGGAGACTCTTTAAGGATCACTTTTTTGCCCATTTCCTTGACTAATGTCCGTGCACATAGATCATGCGACATTTTCATGAATATGCTTGTGAATGTTTGTTTGGTGAAGTGTATTTCACTTCTGAGACTAAAAATAGCCGTCTAGTGTCTGGCTACAAAGTAAGAAGAAATATGATACGTGGACTCTTTGGGAAATCATCAGCTTATTTGCTGTATTTTTCACATTATTGCCAGGCAGAATTTATTACTTTCATTCCAAGAATTTAACAGTAGCTTTGTAATTCATGAGAAAATCCTTTTTTTTTTTCTGTGTCGTTTGTTGGAACTGCCTTTCTAAGAAGAGAGAAAATGAAAACCTTTTACAATCCCAAGGACAAAGGAGGAGTTTGAGTTGAGGGTAGGCGACATGACTGAGTTTCTCACACTTTCATTGTGAGGGATGTCATCCTCACAGCTTTCAAAAGGGTTACCATATAGTATTAAGTGCTGTTTATTATATTATTAATTATCCTGACAACTACAATTGGTACATTATCCTTATTTTCAGTTACTATGTACCTATCACGCATTTAATTGTGCACCTAAGGCAGAATCATGAATTTTCATGCGAGAAGAGTCACCTTGCCTGCCATCACACCACTTTGTCTGCAGAAGCGGGTAGGAATCTTAACGGATCTCTTCTCTACTCTCTCTTTAACATTTTTCCTCTGTATTCGTGAAGAGCTGCTTTATGTTCATGTTTGACGATCGTTCTAAATTGGAGCCGTCTTTTTAAATGGCGCCGGATCCAACATCATGTGAGCACTCTAAAAGGGCTCACTATGTGTACAACGAGGGTTTGTCTTCATAAGTATAAGTTATATCAACAATCATTTCTCTGTGCTGTTGTTACTTGCTCAATCTGAACTTTCACCGGGATTCACACTGGGTTCTTAAAAAATGTTAACTTACATTAGTGGGAATTCATCTTTGACAGATGCAATGTGTCATTTGATGGCAAAAGATGGTGTTTTAAACTTAGAGAGTAGCCGATACTCTGGAAATATTCTAAAATATAAAATCTGCATGAATGCTGAACAAAGCAAGCCCACACGTAAAGTCAGAATATTTATATACAGCACAGTATACATATATAGTGTCTGTGGAGCGGCACTTTGCATTGGTGGGACTTTCCAACAACAATATAATGTTAATTCTTCAATTCCGGCCTGCTCCCCTTTAATGCTGCTCCATTATTCCTTATGGATTTATAGATTCTTGCTTTCCATCTTCTGATGTCTTGCTCTTTTTGTTTACTTTGACACGGGGATGTCGACTTGTATTTCATATGATATTAGACTGGCAAACCTGGAATCTGCCAAGCGGAAACGTACAGAGAAATGTGGACCTGTGTGACAGATATGGCACCTTCTCGTGAACCATATAGTATATAAGATAAATATGGACTTTAGAACATTGCAGATGTGCCTTTTTATAATTACAGTAAATGTGTCTTATTCATCAAGCCACCTCAAGTGTCTTTTACATCCTATATCTGAGTCAAATATGTTGTGAAAATCCAATACCAACAAACTCAGAAGAATATAAATCATTTTTTTAGATAAGACCTCAGCAGTCTTGTTTTAAAAAAAACTGTTTAAAGTAGCTACTAGCTTTCCAGCGTGTTTATCTGTGTAGCCTGATAACATTTGTCTGCTGTTGCAATTCATCTACTCATTGGTGCCCGCTGGATGCTCTGTAAAGCAAACCGTATCCCAGCTTTTGATTTGTTTTTCCATTTGGTCCATTTCTGTTTCAGCACCCAGAGAACCAGTGCTTAGCTACTATTTGGGAGCCATGAGCTATAGGTGTAAATAGCACCTGGTTTGGCCACTATAGAGAAAGCTCGAAATGAGGACATTTCCTCATGGTTTCTTATATAGACGAGGCTGGAGGCCACCTCCTCGCCACCACTACATGATAGAGCTGCAGCTGTGAGAGTGCAGTTCAAGGTTAAACCAAAGCGGTCTAATTGCCAAAATGTCTCGCACTGTGCTGTCCTTGAGATAAGAAGGTGTAATAGAGTTTATGTTCAACAAGACTATATGTAGTGCTACATAGTCGATGTCTGGATTTGTTCTGCCTTGTCCAGACAAGGCTTTTCATCGAAGGTTCTTTGTAACACAGCACAACATGTTCTTTTGCTTCACCCTCTACTTCGCTCCTCACCGTACATTGGCTGATGACTATCACAAAATGTAAAAGATTGCGTTGATTTAGAAACATTTCATTGTTTGTTCACCAGAGAGCACTGACATGTTTATTTTTCCAATTTTAAAGTAGCTAACTAGATATACACTAGATATACAGCTTGGTCATGATTCTGTAATTTATAAACTTACGGTATTCTTATTACCGCCACCAAGGAAGTTATGTTTTCAGTTCGGTTTGTCTGTTTGTCAGCAGGATCACGGAAAAACTACTGGCCCGATTTTTATGAAACTTGGTGGAAGGGTGTAGGGCATGTCCTTGGTGGAGGTCTGCGTTTTCCAAGCGTACATATAGTTTGTTTATGTTTGCCCATGTGTAGTCGTGAGATTTGTTTTTAACTGACTAATATTAAGTACTGGATCCTTTCATGAATAACTGCTTTTAAAACGTTTCTGGCCACAGCCGGAGACATCGCCACCAACCAGTTTCAGAATTTAGACTGCAGATTTGAGTTGGAGGACATTTTTGAATGTTTGCTCTGCTGGTTTTGACTAAGCTAACAATACTGTATTGTGTGTAAATTTTGAATAATTTAATGTTGACAGTATCACCACTGGTGAATTTAACCATTCAGCAGTTTTTATCTGGGTGATGAGCTTTAAAGTATTTTACAATAAAGTTAAAGACCAATATCAAGCACAACCAACCTAGCTAGTACCAAACTAAGCAAACAGAATGATCCCTATGGTGCTTATATGATTCAGATAGTACACAATCGGATCAAAATTAAACTATTCGCATTATGCACTTTTAAGACATTAAATTGCTGTCCAATATCTCACCCCAGTGAGCCTTATTTTTCTACCATTGTACATTTTTCAAAAGTGACCTCTTATTTTGCCATTTACTGCAACCAAGTCTTTACAAAAACAACTCATATTTTTAGATGGAACAGCTGAAACCAGTTTGCTCTTTTGCCCTTCAAAGTGAGGAACAATAATCCCAACAGAGACGTTGCAACATAAAAGGTGTACTTGATTGACATGACGTAGGCGTACATGAATGCTATTCAGGTGAAAGCCTGTTTACATTTGGATCAGGGTTACTTGCTGATGAATGCAGCTCTGTGTTCACTGATAAAGACAGCAACCGAGTACACGGCATGCTACCTTGCCTGGCCATTTATTAGAAACTCCTAACCAATGATTAACAGTGTCTTCCACTCAATGTTATGAATGAGAAATGATGCATAATGATACATTAAGTTGTTTTAGGAAGTAAAAGTAATTATAGTTTTGGGTTGTGCAATGAAATTAATCGACCTATCTGTTGATGTTATGAACAGCATGCACTATGTAGTATGGATTTATGCAAATATGCGTATTTCTTATCTGATGTTCTTTCACTTTATATTTTGTTGAAAGTTCAAATACAACATGCCACTGCACTACCACATCTAATGTAACATCTTGTATGTTTTATTTATATCTGTCTTTGTGATTCAACATGGAATATTTTCTATGTTTGGAAAACAACCAACAAGATATTTGCATGACTCAGACATCTGCTAAGTTAATTAGTGAATCTAAACTAACCTGCAGACCAGAATTCCTAATTAAAATCCTCACTATTAAATGCTTTTGATGCCAAACCATGTAAGCACCATTTTGGTATCCTTAGGCCTAACACCCACTATCTGACATCAAATCATTTGTGATAATTATGCAAAAAAATAAATAATACTATCACAGTAACCATGGAGACAGCACAGGAAACCGCTCTGCTTGTGTGGTTCAGATGTCCGCCCTCAGAAGTAACATGGTGATAAAGCACCTCCCCCAAAAAAAAAATCAATCTTTGGAAGTTAGTTTCATAGATATTGTCACAAGAACCAGGCTTCACATCAGGACACTTCCACACTCCATCATGCGTCTATATTCTATTTTTTTTAAATTTAATATGAACATACTTTACATTGTTTAAACACAGTGTAAAATGTCTAGCATCGAGGAAGTAGAAAATAGACAATGCTTTATGATTGGGAATGTAGCAGACTGCTTACCCTCTAAAATTCCTCTAAGGTCTGCTGCAGAGACGCAACCCCACAGCATGATGCTGGGGTGGTGTGTTTTCCTGCCGATGTGTTGCTGTCATTCAACACAAGTAAAAGCTTTGGTCTCAGCAGGCCATAGAACCTACATTTGTTTGTGTGGTTGTTTCTGGCCTTCTGTTTGCCACACCGTCCTGAAGCAACAGTTTGTATGCACATGTGTGTCTTCATCTCATCGGTTGTACACATCAGTGGCCTCAGAGTTACCAGAGGTCTTTACAAAACTTCAGTAAGTCATTTAGACCATAACATCCTGCTCTGCAACGCTGGGTTGTCTCCCTGCCTCCTCCTCTTGTAAAGGGGTCATATAAGTGGCCGTTGTGTGTGTGGAAGAGTTTACAGGCTATGGTCTGAGTGATGGAATGGATTAATGTAATTTAATTTAATTTCCATTCATTGTGGATGCGTGTTTCCTCGACATCCAAACTAAATTTTTCACGAAACTACCTTTCAGACGTGTGTGTGTGTGTGTGTGTGTGTGTGTGTTAAGGACTGCAAACATGGAGTACATCTGCAATGCTAATGCCCCAAAAAGGTTTCCTCACCCTCTGACAAACCCTACCCTGTCCCTGGTGAAATGTGATGCCTGAATGATTTGATTTGGCCAACTCTCAGGAAGCCGCTTCCTCACTGCAGCTAAACAAGAGTGCAGGCTAGATGCAGTTATGACCATACCATACCATTATACCTTTTTTTTATGATCTGGGGTTTGTTTATTTTAAATGAATATGATGTCTACTGTTCTCAGCTGTAGTTGTCTCTGATTTGGTTTAAACAAGAGGTTTGATAATTAACCTGCAGTGTTAACTATATTAAAACACGGGCTGCTGGAGTAATCCGTTTAGTGTACTGTACGCCCTCGTCTTTGTGAGACATCCACAAGCAAAGATATTTGTCTTTGTCAGGCTCCAAGTGGGCTGATTAAACACTAAATGGTTTACACTGAGAGATGATGTCATAGCTGAAGACTCCCATTTGCTGATGGCTCCTTGAGGGCTCAAACCTCAGCCCCGCTGGACAGTGCTGACCTCTTTTCTCTCCACAAAAGGAAGCAGGCTGGCCCTGCCCAGCTTTGAACTACCAATAGCGCGCATAGAAAGAAAACAAAAAGACAGTCATTTGGTCTTTACTTTGCTCCCCTCCATACCCTGTCTCCGCACCCGCCTATGTCAACATTTTAGACAGAGTTGACCCAACTAGCATTACATTTAACCGGCACCTTTGTAATTGCTGTGTGGGCTCTTGTAGGCAGGGCATTATGCTGGACTTCTGCTTGCCATAGGCGTGTGAATGAGCATGGAGAGGGGATTGGAGCCATTTTCAAACATTGAATAGGTAACATTGCTGGCTTCATCTAGCTGTTAAAGTTATGGCATCTTGTAATTCTGACTTTAGGTTAATGTTCCTTACGGCAGGAGACCTTAATTACCGCAAGGGGGAAAATAGTTTTTTTGTATCTGATCTGATATGACAAAGTCGATCTCCTCAACTTCTTAAAATGGACTCTTTTACAGTATTTCCTAGTTTATGAAAACGGAGCAGATATAGATACATTAATACAGTGATGTTAGAGAAGGCAATACAAGACCTGTAAGTAATCTTACTCTCTCTCAATTCAGACTAGTGCAATGTTAAAAGTGATACGTAGATGGTTTAAGATCCGACCTAGTGTGGTGCATTTCTGAAAGGGACTCTAGTTAATGAGCAGATTGATCTCTGACGCTTAGTGTTGGTGAAAGGTAGCAGGTGATTTGGTATCCACCCCCAGCAATACAGATACAGTATGTGGAGTTGGGACAGCGCTGTGCTAAGAGGCAGTTTTGCCTAATTGCCTCCTTTCAGCTTCACTGCAGCACAGAGCGAGAGAGGGAGGGAGAGAGCGGGAGAGATAGAGATAAGAGTCTCGGTCCTTCCCAGCTGGCGCTCGCAGTGCTGTCAGACGTGTGTTTTTATGTTTCCTACAAAAGCTCTCTTTTGCAATGCTGTGTACTCAGCCATGCATAGGCTACAGATCTTGTACAAACTCAGAACACTGCTTGGCTCCAAACAGGGGGGTAAGTTCTTCTTTCAGATGGATTCATTTTTTAAGTTTTTGATGTCTCAATGTGGTATTGCAAGATTAATACACTTCACAAGCTCGATTATTTACATCCTGGAACATGCGTTGCACATTATTCTCTACTTTGTAAGGTCCTTCATCAACGCTAATTTTCTAAATATTTTGTTGCTGCAGTAGGAAACGGAGGCTACCTCACTGGTGTTTGATGGTTAACCTGATTCATTTGTCTGATACTTTGCCTCACTTTTAATACTTTTCATTGCACTACTTAAAGTCAAAAAACACTCTCTGCTTGTGCTTCTGAAAGGTAAAAAAGTACCCCATGCTGCTGAGAGGTTGAAGTGGTTGTTGATTCTATGCTTCTGTTTTCAGGTAATCAAAGTTTATAATGAAGATAACACCAGCAGGGCAGTGGAAGTTCCCAGTGACATCACTGCCCGGGACATATGCCAGCTGTTTGTCTTGAAGAACCACTGCATTGATGACCACAGCTGGACCCTGTTTGAACACGTCTCTCATCTGGGAATAGGTAAAATGTTGTTTTCTGTATAAATAGCATTGTTCTGTGAGAATGTAAAAAATCATGCATGATCATTATCCTCATCAAATCTCACATGTTGTGAGAGTATTAGATATTATGTGGAGGCAGCTCAGGTTAAGTGATGTTGATCAAACTGTACACACATTTGATAGTATGCACTGGTATTCACCATGTGATGGCAATGCTGTTAGTACTAGGGGCGAGGTTTGCTTGATTTGATGGGAGTGGCAGTAGTAGGTAGTGGGGGTGGTGGGCAGGTGACTTGGCGATATATGTGAGTGGAACAGAGCACTGCTTTGTGTTTGTGTTCAAAGTTTAGTGCCCAATTACATCGTGTAGAATATGAGGAGGGCTAATATTTGGTACGGATTGTGTCTTTATCACTGCGAGGCGTCAATCATATATATTCCTTGCATAGAATATTATTTCTTATCCTCCATTGGCATTGCATTAGGAGAGAGGTAGTGCAATGCATGTATGGAGACAATCACTGTCTTCAATGGGGTATGGAGATTTTCTCTCACTTGTACAATTTACATCCCTACGAGTATTGTCTGCATATTCTGTTGTGAAATGCAAGAGGTTGCCGTGAGGTCTACATGTTTAAGCCACATTACCTGCTGCTAATTTGATACATTTGAATTTAAAGCACTTTGAAGGCCATACTTCATACTACTGTTAAGGAACATTGGTAGTGATGCATTGCATTGAATAGTTTGCTTTTAGTTGTAACCACTTATGTAACATGTACTGTAACAGAAGTATTTGTTTATCAAAGGCACATTACCATTTGCATTCAAGAGTGGTGTATGACTGACATTGAATATAGTTCTTAATAAGCCAACAGTGAAAAACACACATATCTGTCATTGATATATTAACACTGATCTGCTGAGGGACAGTATGACTGCATACAAGATTTCTCTGCTGCATTTTCACACTATTGCACACATTACATAATTCATCCATCTGTTCTGTTCCAGTCATAAATGTGTTCTTTCATCAAAGCCATGTATTGCTGTATTGTGAAAAACATGTATATAGATATTTGTTATTTATCTTTTTCTGAAATGAGATGCATGGTTTTCACTGTATTTTTCGCTGTTTTCCTGCTTTTTTGCAGAGCACTCAAAGTTCATATCTATAAATGCTTATTAAATCAAATAGTGAACAAGGCATACAGTATCTAATTCCTCACAATCATATTATCAGCCATGTAAATCATGAATAGTTACTTGTTGTCTGATGACGTATTTGCCCTGATTGTTTGTTCAAAGTTGAGGGCTGCTTCTCGTGTGCTGTCTGTTGAATCAGGGGGAAACATTTGTGTTCACTCATTTCAAGTTCTGGGAAATAATTCATGTGTATGTTCTACTGATTCTCTTGAGACCTCTGCTCTCATCCAGAGGTTACACGTTGATATAAGGTTGATGATCAAACTGTGTGCCTCCAAGTAAAGCAATAATCTCTTGTCAGGAAATCTTTGCATTATGATTAAGAACATTTAAACGTATGTATTTCACTTTGGTTTTAGCATTACAGCTGATTCTATTCCGTCTCCATCTTTTATCCATAGAGGAGTGAAAAAAACAACCTGTAATTGATTTTATTTTTCTTGTCGTCCTGGTCTCACTAGAGAGAACCATTGAAGACCACGAGTCCGTTATGGAGGTGCTGTCAGGCTGGGGAATGGACACAGACTGCCGGCTGTATTTTAGGAAGAATTATGCTAAATATGAATTCTTCAGGAAACCCCTGGTGAGTTTGTGATAGCGTTATGCTGTGGGTATGGTGATGGGTTCACACACATGATTTTGCCTCGGGGCAGTCTCTCTTTGAACCAACCACCTGTATTCCGACTACTGTGTGGGTTGAGGAGACTAAAGAGTGTTGTAACAAATGATGTTGCTTTCATATTGGTAGGATTTCTTCCCGGATCACATGGTCTCCATATCCAGTGAAACCAACGGGGTGGTGGATCACTCTCAGCTCATACAGGTATTAAGTTCTTTCTGTTTACCCTGCACTTTATTCCCTATTGAGTGCCAATTGTGAGGCTCTCAAACTCCTGTCTAAATGTGTTTTTATATTCAGAGTCAACTCTTCACACCCATCTATTGACACATATTTCTCTCCCCAACACAGACCTTTCTCAACTCCAGCACTTGTCCAGAGATACATGGACACCTCCATGCCAAAGAGCAAAGCAGGAAGTCTTGGAAGAAGTTTTATTTTGTCCTGCGGAGGTCGGGGCTTTATTTCTCCAATAAGGGAACTTCCAAGGTCAGTAAAACAAAATGACTCGGCTACAGAATTTTGTCTGCATTTTACGAAATGTTAAGAACAATATAAGAAGCGGAATACCACATGGGTTATTTGTTGCAAATAATTAAAACCATTCTGTTGCACGCAATCCTATTTTATATCCTATTTGGATATTTATATGTTGTTGCATTACATTGGTCTGGAGCGCTTGCTTGAATTTAATGCACATACTGTAGTTGCGCTGTAATATTTATGATAAAATTGGAAAAGACTACTGTTGGTACACTGTGGGGCCAACAGTTCATCCTCTGTATATATCTCACTTGTGCTTGGAGAGGGCAGTGGAACAGGTTGAGCTTGATTTTCCTTAGGTCAGCTGGCATGTCACCCAGGCAGAAACAGGATTCTCAAAGCTGCTGACAAGTGAAGCTTATACCTAGGCACACGGCGTGCCAACACAACCATTTCTCAACTGCTTTCATTTCCTACAACAGTAGACCTTTTGTTGTCGGGTGCAGGGAGGCTTTGGTATGGCGCCCACTTTTACTCTAGCTGGTTTACCATTCATCTGTGGTCGGACACATTGCTAGTCAGTCAGCACAGTCGCTAACGGCTGAGGCATTACTTTAAATAAGGAAGTCGGGCCGCTGCGTCACATGAAAGCAGAACAATGGCAATCTTTGTGCCTTTTTCTTTCTTTGAAATGTTTCTTTGGCACAATGTGGGCACTGATACTGTCTCGTTACAGACCCTATATTTTTATTGTGTACCTTCTGCATGCTTCATGTCCAATTCATTTACAAAAGTAAATTACTGTGTTCTTCACATTAGTGACCACATCATCAGAATTATTGAAGAGGCAAGACTGCAATACTGACACACAAACAGACATTACATGCCTCTCCATCCCTCACGCAGTAGACTTACAGACATGTCGCAGAGTTCAATACTAGACCCAAAACTTTGATTTGATGTTGCATGAAAGTTCTTTCTGTGCTTTTGTTTTATAATGACTTCCTCCTTTTTTTACAGGAACCAAGGCATCTCCAGTTCATTGCCGATTTCAGTGACAGTGATGTCTACACAGTGTTGTCAGCCAAAAAACTACATGGAGCTCCTACAGATTATGGTTTCTGTGTCAAGGTACCAATCACTCTCTAGAAATGCCTAAACTGCACCAAAGGAGCAGAAGTAGAGTATTGATTCTCAGCATGCTGAACTCCTTTTCTCTTGTAACTTCTGTCTCCAGTCCACAAAGTGTAGTTCAGCCCGAGACTTGAAGCTGCTTTGTGCGGATGATGAGCAGACCAGGACCTGCTGGATCACAGCCATGCGCTTGTTAAAGGTTGGCTCGCTGATCACTAACTGGTGATGTCTAAGAGGAGGAATGCTGAGTCAGTGCTAGAATCAGATTTAGCTTTGGGAGGAGGTCAGGGGAAACTACTGAGTGATGCTGGATTAGCACTCGTAGCCTTTATAGAAGCAGCATGTGTTCATTGTCTGGATATCTGATGGATACACTTAAGAGCATTAGTCACTCTCCTGCTGGTCTATAAATAATATACAGTCAAGCTTAACAGGCTTTATTTGTACCTGCCCCTTTTCACCACTCCTCTCCAGCGACACTGAAAGTATTTTAAAGTTAAGATGTAATAGATATTTGAGATTGGAATTTAAAATGCTGACTTTTTTTGTGTGTTCCAGTATGGGATGGAACTGTACCAAAACTTCATTCAGCCACACCAGAAACAAAAAGCTTCGCCAATGGTAAGCTGAAGGTCTTATCTTTATGTCATGCAACTCACTTGAAAATGCCTTGAAAGCTTATATCCTCACATTAAAAATGTACTTTGGTAAGCTTATATCAACAGTGGATCAAAAGATTGTGATAAAGCTTGCGCAGTTAATACAAAATCTGCAGTTTGCCTTAACTTCACCTGGTTGGGTCAGCATTGGCGTGTTGGTGATTCAGCCCACATACTGTCCTCACCAACCTTGTTTCAAACCCAAGCAGGGAACTTAATTCAGCCATAAAGCTCTGATGTACCCACTTATAATACCTCTCGAGCACCAAATGACAGACTGATAACGACAGCAACGAGCTGGAGAACATGGTAGAGCATTTAACAGCTAAAAAAAACATTTTACTCAGGAGTTGGTTTGAGACCAGGAAAGTGAAAATGGAACATTGTACAGTAAATGTTTGTGAACAAGTTTGCCATATCAACTTTATAAGGTTTAAAAGGTAGTACAGTGTCTGTTGTTTTTCTAGCTTGTTCCACTGCTCCCAGGTGACCAAAGAAAATCCATTAATGCAGCTTTAAATATACGTTTTCATGCCTTAAAAATGTGTCGGGCCAACACATAGCAGTGTTGTAATATAATTGCATAGGACAAATGAGGCACCTTCAGTGTGTTCATGTGGGTTTGGTGTCTCAGAATAGCCTCAGACTATACTGGGAGTATTTTTGTGGCAGTGAACACAATCTATTTATGTCTTTTGGACATGTTCATGAACCCTTCACTTTCTAAAAATACACAGTGATCAGCTGCTCTCAGATTTAACAACTCATCACCTCTTCTCTGCTGTCGGAGGGTCACCAACAGCCTCGCCAAGAGGATTAGCTAGAAAGATACGAGAGTACATGAATCTGCCAAATGCACGGTCAGGCTGCTGAATCTCCTGTGCTGCACTAGACAGATTTAGCTAAACATGCTACCTTGAGAAAAATGGCTTCATATGATCACTGAAAAGTGATAAAAAGCTGTAATCGTATACAATATTAAGTAACGCACACATATATGCACAATGATGGGTATCTTTACATCATTGGAATTGGGGGACAGAGTGCATAAGACGGACGGGAATGCCTCTATGCTCAAACAAACACTGCTCACTTTGTTTTAACCACTCATTTATAGTCTAAGCTTAGTAGGTGGTAGAGGAACACATGTGGTAATATTAAAAGCTTCTTGGTAATCCTGATAAGAAGAATTTTCTTGAGTGTGTGCAGTGAGCCACTCAGGACTAAAATGTGCCCATGTGTCATTCTTTTCAAAGCCACTCTAATCCCTTTTCAACGGAGTTTTCTGTCTGCATCATCTAGAAATGATAAAAATGGAGTCCTTATTCAGACACTAGATGGCAATACAATACCATGAGACAGCAAAAGTCAGTCTACTCCTCTTCCACAGTATACAAAGGAAATCAACCCCCAAAATGGAAAACATTTGGGTATTTTGTAAAATAAAATACATATCTTTATAGTATTTTTTTTTTGTATGAGAAAATAAAGCAAAATAAACAGGGGAATAATTGAAAGAAAAATAAGTCATACGGTCAGTACAAAAATAACGTATGTGTACAATTTCAGAGAAGTATCTCAGAGAATTCACTGGTGGCGATGGACTTTTCTGGCCAAAAGAGTCGGGTTATTGAGAACCCATCTGAGGCGCTGTCTGTGGCCGTAGAGGAAGGCCTGTCATGGAGGGTAAGTCTGGCTATCACCTGGTGAAAACATCTACTTAATGAAAACTAGGAACAAATCATTAAAATGTTATTATGAGCTCTGACAAACGACAAACATCAAATATGTTCATGTCCAGGGTAACAAGAGTTATTAGGAATTGGCATAGTGCTTTTTAATATTCAACAGTATATTCATACACATAGCTGCTTAACACAACAAAATAGAGCTTAAGTCAACAGTTGTAAGCACCTCATAAGTTGTGATTATAATAGGATAAGTTAACATTACTTTAACTTACATTGTGACTGTAACTCATTTCTCCTGTAGAGGAAGAGCTGCCACCGTCTGAGCAGCCACGGGAGCCCCTCCACATCACAGAGCTCAGTGTCAATCATAGGTTTGTGCGTCACTTTTCTATTATTTTTGATTTGCCCTCTGTACATAAGTGAAATGGATAATTTGCAACATATTGTTTCTCTTTGTGCTTTAGCTCTCCACTTGGCTCAGTCCTGGTTCCACGGCAAACTGTCTCGGGACGAGGCTCAGCGTCTAATCACTCAACAGGGTCTTATCGATGGGTAAGCAGTTATAGTGCTTTTCTGTCGTTACATTATGTCATTAAAGACATTAGGTTGTAGTAGGTAGACCTCTGGGTTTACAGCATTTGGTGCATGATCCTCAACAGTGAGGCTTTTTTGCTATACCTTCTTTTCTAAAGGACAAGGTTGGTAGTTCTGTTAATAAAGGGTGATTTCCCTGTAAAATACCTTTTTAATGTGTCACATTTGAATTGAACAAATACATTTCTGTTCACAATACATTTGTGCAATTATGTGGTGGGTAGTTACAAAATGTAATAATTGTAGAGATTATTTTTAAGAAGAAACATAAAGCGTTTGAATTATTATATCATCACAACATCTAAATGTATCTTTACAGCAATATTCTCTAGTGGGCCATAATAGACTGGACTTCAAGAGACAATATAAATATATTAATATATTTTTTGGGAAATCTCAAATATGGTTGAAGTGACATTTAAATGCGTTCTTCTTGTTTTCAGAGTATTTCTTCTGAGAGACAGCCAAAGCAACCCGAAGACATTTGTACTGTCGCTGTGCCACATGCAGAAAATCAAGCACTTTCAGATCTTACCTGTGAGTACAATCCACTGTTTGGACGTACAATGATTTTTAATAATCTTCCCAATTTGAGCCTGACGTTTAGTAAGTCATCTGTCTCTTGTGCGTGATTCCTTTGTGTGTGGTTGTGCACGTATATGTGTGCATACTCCACTGCAGGTGGACGACGAAGGGGAGTCATTATACAGTCTGGATGACTGTCACACGCGGTTCTCTGACTTGATCCAGTTGGTGGAGTTTTACCAGCTAAACCGAGGGGTGTTGCCCTGCAAGCTCAAACACCACTGTTCCCGGATCACCCTGTGAACGAGGGACCCAAGAGACCCCCGAGGGCCCACATGCACCTTAACTCCAGGGCCTTTCAGGACATACACTCCCAGTGTTCTTGTGCCTTGAAGAAGAAAGAAATACAGACTTAACAGCCGTGCTAACTGAAACCACTGTTGTCATGCACTATCGCCTTCTTCATACTTTTGCTACGTGGTTCCTCCTTATTTTTATATTTCAGAAAAAAGTTGAATTTGACAATAGACTGTATGATAACTGACTACATGTGCTGAAGACGATGTGCAGTTGTGTTTGTTGAACGTTAATCTTTGGCGCTGTAATGTTCCCACGTGTGGCCGTAAATCCATTGGTGCAAAGTCCAAACGTGACTTATTGTACTGTGTACTGTAGAGCTGAACGTGTACTGCAAACAGCTTGTGATTCTAACATCATGACATCAGTGAAAGAAAGTATTTTATTACTCAAATATATACAGTAGCTTGCATTTGGGTTTTCACTGACGGAATTTAAATAGAATGTCTTCTGCGATATGCATACAGTGATTTCATAAACATAAACCTGTCATCAATTTTTATTTGAAACCATATAATTCTGGGACTTGTAGTACACAACACCTCTGTCATGTTAAATTTGAGTAAAACTAAGCTATCTTACTTTTCATTGTCATTGTATTTCTAAGCATTCAGGTATTTAAAAAAAAAAAAAAAAATGATTGTTGTTTTCTATTTGAGTGCTTAAACAACCTATCAGGAAGTGCCACTGTGCATGCCCTGTAAGCTGGACTGAGACTGCTGTAGAGAGACGGGGAGAGGTAACGTCAGGGTGGAGAGAAATGGCACAACCTCACTAGCCTGCACTGTACATTCATTGTAAACGATTGTGATTAAATGAGATGTTTGTATTACATGAAATAAGTTGTGAGCTTGCTCCACAGCGAGAACGGTGAAATATATTTCACTCATTTTAGATAGTAGCCATTAAGATGGAAATCCGAAATACTGTGTGACTGATTTCTAAATTCAGTCATGTGATTTAGGTTTTATATTTTCCAAAAGATTCAGGTATACAGTTTGCCACTGCTGTGGATAAATATTGTTTCAGATATTGTTTGTTTTTAATAAGACAATGATGCATCAGCTTTTAAGAACAAGGCATTTTAAATCAGTGACATTGAAATGTCCATCTTCTGTTAGTTTCATTTTTTTTTTTTATTCAGCTGGACAACAGTGCATTGATCAACAAATGTCATGGACTGCATAGTTTTATATAAACAAAGTCTGTTTGTAATGTATGATTTGTATGATTTATTGTTACATTTAACGATAAGCTGCAAGGTAAACACACTGTTGGTTAAAGCCACATTACAGTACACAGTTCAATGATGTTTAAAAGCTGCCAGCAATTGCTGTAGTTAAATACGCAGCACGGTAAACTCTTAACTATAAAGCCCAGATGAGATCTGGGACAGTGTGGAGCAATAGATGACTATATCTCTTTGTTGTATAAAATAGTATACCGCTTAGTCTTTTTATGATAAATAGGTTATGATACAAATGCAATGACGGACACTAAATCTCACTATACAATGAAACGTTCACCTGGACCATGTCTTTAGTACACATTGGGGCGCTTCTTTGCTCAGAAAGATTTGTACATGATTTTCTAATGAGATCCAGCACAGAGTTAAATTTAGCAGCACTATATAGCAGATGTATGGGACACATAAGCCTAACATTCTCAAGTATGATTTAATGAATTGTGTGGGCAGCATGTGTATACGTATGTGTACATACACTTATATCCTCGACATAAATCATTTTTATAACCACTAGATGGTACTACTTGTCCAGGTTTATGTTTAAAATAATTGTGTCTTATGCAATTTAAATTATATAATACATATACAATGTGTCATAGATGCAAGTTAAGTTTACATTGACTTCAAAAAGTTGTTATACAAAAGTTGTGCAACTAAGACTTCACTGGTATTGAGCATCTAAGATTGTATATGCAAATGCTGCGATTACACCAAGAAACACGTCTATCGAATGTATTGCAATGAGTAAGTGTATTTTTACGATGACACCCCCTGTGTGTCTGTTGTTTCTCTGATATTAAGTAATGTAATATTACTGTTGCAAGTAGTGAATTGAAGGGAAACTTATTTTAATTTACACCTGAGCTCCATCGGATATGAAATATGAAAAAAAATAGTAAAGGATATGATTGTTCTCTACACAATAGTAAACGGAAGAATGTCTTGTCTTGAACAATCTTCTCTGTTGTGATACAAACACATTGCCCCTATACCTCCTCCCCTCCTCTACTTCAATAGCACATTTTGAAACAGTGCTAACATCCAGGGGAGATGTGCGCACACAGAGAAGTCTTAAATGCACCCCTGCTTCCGAGGTCTTGTGCTAAATGTTGTTTTGGATGTATTCCTGCCATTGATCGGAGTCTGGCTGCAGGGGGAGAGATGGCAGCTGGGAGAGACTGCGCTTCCTTTAATGAATTCATCCAGCTCTATCCAGCCCAAACGGCCTGTGGATACAGCATTTCTCCCAGTAAATAAAGACCCTCTCTCTCCGCTCCGTCTCTGGCCCTCATGGATAACCACCACTGTTCATAACACTTCTCACCACTACTTTGGATTTACTCCTGGCTGCACTCTCACTCTTATGACTTCAGATTTTCCACCTCAGAGTTGTCAACTTCACTCTGTTCTAAAATGCCCCTCTTTTTGTATTCCCCCAGTCTGTATTCAATTATCTGGCTACGCCGTCTTCGACCAATTACTGATTACTCTATCTCTAATGAAGTGAAGACTTTGCTGTTTGCTTTGCTCTTGACCCTCAAAGGTGCATTATTTGGGCTTAGGTATGAGTCTAGGCATGAGGAAATGAGACTTGGTTTGTTTAGGGGATGAGCTTTAGTGAAGGTTAGAGGCTTTAACTGTTCCTTTGCAAAGGGCTCTCCCATCAGGAGTATCTAAAGCCAAAAGAAAATCCAACAGCTCTTCACTGTAGATACAGTGGCCACAGAGGAGTGGAGCAAAGATTATTGCAGGTCGAGAAGAAAAAAATATTAAATACGTGAACATTTCCATTTTTCCACACATGGTGTTGAACTAATTATATTGAATCATAGATGAGCTGTGATAACTTTGGTCTACATTGCGCAGTTGTAGTGCTGATTTGAGTTTATTTTTCAATTTTTAGTAAAAACCGTCAAACTATAACAAGCATCTTGTTTTAATAGATTATAGAACAGAAGGGGAAGTCATGCAGGTACAGTGCTGATTATGTCTTTATGTATGATGTAAATCTGTATTAATATTAAATAATTGAAGATACAGTGAGGGCATTATGGGTCTTGGTTGCGTTGATATTTTAAACGCCATATAGTACATTCTCTATGTGACGCTTAAAATGATGAATTGATAAAAAGAAAAATACAGGCATATTCAAGATTTTCTCAAGTTTTCATTATGTACACTTACTGTAACAGCAAGGTTTTTAGGGGCTGACACCTTGAGGTCATATGCAGTTAAAAGTACTTCTATGCTTTATAACAAGCGTTCATTTTACGCAGATGGAGTTTTAAACAACTGCAGTAATAGTGATACATTTCTTGTAAACAGCTACCATACAATTAATTCCTTTTCACACAATGCATGAGATTTTTCAAGACCGTGGTTGTGCCGTGGTGTGTGAAGGGGAATATTGTTGGTGTATTTGAGCATCTTTGGTAATGTATTATGTCTCAGATAATTGCCCAGACGGCGCTTGCTCCATAAATCGCCTTTCTAACCTCTGATATATATTTTTTTCTGGGGGTCTTGGAACTGGCAATCGGTAAGTGCCAAGCTTTGTTAATTACAAGGATAACACATAAACTCGTCAAATAATGGATGTGGTTTGCAATTTTAAGTTTTAATAATCAATTACTGGCAGTAATTCTCTGGAGTCACAGGATAGTCATTAAATCTCAAAAGGCGAGACGCACGCAATGTTTCCAAAGCCCTATTTTTAAATACATAAGGGAACAGGGTCTGCTTCAATCCGGTGCATTTTGTTGCCTTGTTACAATGTAAAGTAGCTCAATTACACCTCGACAGAGCCGCTTGTAAAATAACTGTTAAAGACAGTGAGTGATGAATGATCATATTAATGCCTATTCCTACAGGAACTGAGCCAACAAGGACAAGAGTGGAAGGATTCTCTGTTGCAATAATACTGCAGATCAGCTTGTTTTTTTTTCTTTTAATATGAGTTACTGCTTTTATTATGTTGAAGCCAGAAGTTTAACCAAGTCCTGTATGAACTCACATAAAGCATACACATGTGTCTGCTGTTGTTGGGCCGGAAACACCTCTGTAACTGGCCTCTTTGATCTTGGCAAACAGGTAGATGTAGTGGTATAGAATCAGTGTGCTCTTTTTTTTTTCTCCCATACAGCAGGGTTCCTGTTATTGTATTTTCGCGTCCACCTTCAAAGCTGAAACATTGCAGAGGTTCTTCTTGACCTTGATAAATTAACATGGGAGGACTGGCTTTGCTCTGAGGGAGCCCTATAGAGGCCACGTCCCCTCCTAATCCCCAGTTGAAAGGCATACCTCTACTGCTCAGACCAAATAGTAACATCCACCAAGCCAAGTGTTTACACGATATATAAAGACATAAAACATTTCATCTCTTTTAGGTTATTTAATACAGACATTTTCTCTTTGTGATAGATATGGGTTGATTGTGTGTAACCTAGAATGTGTGTGTGTGTGTGTGTGTGTGATAATGTGAGGTATTGAGACACACACACACAGACACAGACAGACAGAGAGAGAGACAGAGCGAAAGAAAGGGAGGATTGGACCTGCACAGTTGAGCAAACAGTGAATCTGAAGTGCAGCGCCCTGTGTGGCTGCCCACCAACTGAACAACATTAAGGCAGTCCTCCATGTAAAACCTGCTCACTTCTCCCACAGACACTCGAGTTTGGCAAACGGGCAGCGGCTCAGCGGGGAGGAGCTCTCACTGGAAGGCAGACAGTGAGCTATGGACAGCAGGGAGACATAAACCACAGCTTCTGGTGGTGATGGACTGATGTTTTAGGTGATCAAAAGGATGGATAAGAAAAGGAAAACAACAGGGGTGGCACCGGGAGGGGGTCTTGAAGAGGAAAACATTTTGGACTTTGAAGGTAGAAAGTACAAGAAAAGCAAAGTAAAGCTGAGATGTTTGACAGTGCGGCACTTGGGGTGAATATTATCGTATTGTGAAAAGTAGACCCAAACTCTCAGATTCACTTTTCCTGTGATCGCTATCCTTCAGACACCATAACATGTCGTTGGGAGAAGAAACTCCCCCCCAAAAAACGTATACAGTATATAATGGGGCAATTTACTTAAAGGTTGTAGAGCAGAAATTAGGATGAGATATTGTCCTATGATTTCTCTGCAAAATAGGTCAAAGTGTTCACAGGGGCACAAATGGATAAACATGTGGGCATGTGCAAAAGTACATTCACACACATATTGCATCAATTTACATTCCTGCCCACTTTTTTTTGTCTCATTTACATGGTATGCGAGTGACTCCTGAACAGGTTAGGAAGCCTTGTGGAAGAATTAGGAAATGGTCCATTTCTGAGTACACAGTAGACTAGAAGCAGAGCAGCATATGCTGGGATTTGAATGGTCAATCGATGAATAACCCAGAGCAGTGTTTTTCGGCGCAGATTGGCAGGCATTGTGCAGTGGTATCTGTGTGTATACTATGCGTGCAAGAGAGAAGGGGATTCATCCTTCCCCACAGTATTACGCAGTCGTCAAAAATATTTGCAATGCCAGGAGGTATTTTGAAAAATATTTGAAAAAATTCAATACCGTGCTGACCTTTTGCTGGGCATTTGTGAAGAGATTCACTCTGCGTCTAATCTGGCTCAGAGTCAGGGTCTGTGTTACTGTGCCATGCAGTCGATTCTAAATTATGTTAATCTATTCTGCTTGTACATTCACTTTGATGCCTTTATTAAAATCTTTTGTTTTAATTTTTGGTTGAGGTGGTATGCTACAAATTCAACAAAACAAGAAGCTAAACATTGAATTGACAAGAATACTAAGAAACGGACAGTTGCCTGTATCATTTTTAATGCAATCCAGAGGTATTTATTCATATTTCATGTAGGTTTCATAAAAGTACTTACTATGCATCAACAACTTCATTATTATTATTTCATTGTTTTGTTATTTTACATTTATCGATATAATTGTTGCAAATCATTTAATT